CAAAAAATGTCATAGTATAGTAAGGCATAAAAACATCAAAAAATGTCATAGTATAGCAAGGCATAAAAATGTCAAAAAATGTCATAGTATAGTAAGGCATAAAAACACCAAAAAATGTCATGGTATAGCAAGGCATAAAAACGTAAAAAAAATGTCATAGTAAAGCAACGCAAAAAAAAGTCATAGTATAGCAAGGCATAAAACGTCAAAGTTAAGTAAGGCAAAAAAACGTAAAAAAAATATCATAGTATAATAAGACATAAAAACGCCAAAAAATGTCATAGTATAGTAAGGCATAAAAAAGTCATAGTATAGCAATGCATAAAAATGTCAAAAAATATCATAGTATAGTAAGGCATAAAAACGTCAAAAAATGTCATAGTATAGCAAGGCATAAAAACGTCAAAAAAAGTCATAGTATAGCAAGGCATAAAAACACCAAAAAATGTCATAGTATAGTAAGGCATAAAAAAGTCATAGTATAGTAAGGCATAAAAACACCAAAAAATGTCATAGTATAGCAAGGCATAAAAACGTCAAAAAATGTCATAGTATAGCAAGGCATAAAATGACAAAAAAAGTCATAGTAAGGCATAAAACCACATACCATAGGAAGTTATGAACATGTCAAAACATGTAAAAGTATAATAAGGTATAATAACGCCATAGTTAATTAAGGTATAAAAACATCACAGTATAGTAAGGCATTAGAGTCACCAATCAACTTAATTTGCATGTGTGTGGATTGTGGGAGGAAGATGGAGCACCTGGAAAGCATCCATGCAGTCACATGCAAATTCTTCACAGAAAGGCCCCAGGCCTGGGGATCGAACCCAGATCCTTCTCACTGATAGGTAAAAGTTACAACCACTGCATCACCGTGGCCATAAAAAAGTCATACTATAATATTCACAAAAAAGTCATAGTAATCATGATGATATTTTCATGCGATTTCTCGACAGAAGTTCAACTCGTACTTTCATATATCCACCATTTTATGTTTACTCCTGGTAACAACGTGACTGCCAACCTACAGAAGCCAGAAGCCATGGTCATCTTGCTAGTTAACACTAGCTAACATGGTTAAACATCAGCTGACATTTTGTGATATTCTCACATGATATGAGCCTTGAGATAGCCCCCGCCCATTCAGTCAATCAAATGCTAGCATATCTAAATCGATTGTCTTGGAGACGTAGCCTCTTGTAGGGCACATTGGAACGTTTTATGTTTGTGACACGACCTAGAACTGATGGAAATCCTTGTCTGAACGACTGAGCTCCAAATCCATAAACATAGACCTTTTTCTCTTTCGAATCTGTCCAGTTAGAATCGCATGAAAAACAAATATATTGAGTTTCTAGTTAACAATATCATCATAACTAAATACTATAGCCTATACATAAATGTTGTTTCACTAAATCTCCCATTGTGTAAAGCACTAAAAAATAATTTTCTCTCATTAACAAATTGTATAGAAATGTCAAAAGCGCCTTTGTCAGGAAACTATATACATGTCTGAATATAACTCATTCTGATCTCTTGCTCAGTTCCTTATTTGGTATTTAATTACTATTTTAATGGATTAACTTTCTCTACTTGTATATTCCTTTCATGTCATCTTATTTCAACAGTTCAATCCTTTTTGTTTTGTTTTTGTGGTTAGGAAAGTCTTCACATCTTTCCTTGACCCAAGGATGAGAGGTGGTTAGGAAAGGAGATTATTAACCGCAGCCCTGCTCTTTGTCTGAATTCAAGGACAAACCTTCTCATATATTTACTAAGAATTGTTATTGCAGTTATTATTGTAAACTTACATATGTGTCATACTAGAAACAGAAAGCTTGACAAGCAGAGCAACAGTAAGAGGAGCAGGAGTTCAGCAAACAAACTGATGCAAAAGTAAAACAACAGAACTGCATCATAAGTATTAGTCAGTATCAGTCAATCAAAAGAGTTTGTTGCAGTGTTTTAAATGAGAAAACCCTTTTTGGAAGTTTCATGGTGGGACAAAAGAAAAACAATGAGAGACGTGTAGCGTTCCAAATCCCATTTTTATTGGTCGTTGGATTTCAGGTGAACCAATGGCACGAGAGAGAGAGAGAGATTAATTCCACAATATTGAAAAAAATTATACAAAATAATAATACAAAAGGAAGTTCCAGTTATACAAAGCAAAGATGTGGATTTTAATCCTTTTTTTTCCCCATTTTTTAAATCTTTTTTTTTTTTTTTTTCCTACTGCCCAAAAACTCAAGAGTAAGGCACAGTCATTACCACATGTTTACCCTTCCACATCCGTTTGTCTAAGCCTTGGTCTTGGTTACCTTGGAGATGCTGGTTTCTCTGAGGATAACCACTCCTTTTTAAGTCGCTTGAGATTCTCAGCCCTTCGTGCACAAAACGGTCAAAACTTCAGAGAGGAAATTGGACGGACTTGGTTTAGAGCCGGCTACAATCATGTATCATTTCATGGGGGCTACAATGATTGGTTTTCCGTTCTGATTTCCACATCAGAGGAATGTTTTACAACGATGATGATTATGATTATGATGATGATGATGATGATGATGAGTGGAAGAGGGCAATAATTCAGGGCCATGCGCCAAGGTAATCTTTACTGTATTGTAGAAATCAGAGAAAACCCACTGCTGCTGAATGCGTTATAAAGGAAGCAGGGCGCAGAAGGGTTGAGAATCAAAGAGGGTTACGACCCGTGGGTGCAACGTGCTACACGACTGCGTAACAGTTTAAATAGACGACAAATTCTGCTGTTATTTTTTTTTTTTCTTATTTATTTTTTTTTTCTAACTCATCCCTTCCCCCCACCTACACCGACGAGTCGGGAAATATTAAACATCCAACAAAAACAAATTAAATTTGGTCACATGTCATCGTTAAGACTGTCGTGACACTGAAATTAAAACCAAAAATAGAAGCAAATTATTAAAGGGCACTCTCACAGGCCTTTCGGTTATATGGCGAGGCGCTTGAGTGCGGGGGGGGGGGGGGGGGGGGGGGGGGGGCGGAGACACAGCGGAGAACATCATCTGCTGGTCCAACACAGTGTGCGAGATGCTTTTTTTCTTAAACATGTTACGAGTTGGTTAGTAGCACCAGGTTCCAGTTCTGTTGGTTGTGTGTGAGATGACAGTTTGTTTGTCCAGTATCAAAGGTTTGGTCTAGATAAAGGCTGAGGTTTAAGTTTGGTTGCGGGATTCAAAAAGCAGCTTTCAAAAAAGGGATCTATAAATCATTTCACTCCAGTTGCTATGGCTACCTACTGTTCTCCTACCCATGATAATGTCTGTGCCTTGGACATAGAAAAAGAAATGAATCCAACTGTGTCAGCAAGTATTTGTGTTTTTTTTTAAATTTTTTTTATCATTATTATTCCAGTAAGACGTGCGAGTGCAGTAAACATAAGTGACCGCACCATTTTTATTTATTTTTTTTCTTTATACTGTTCTCAGGACAATAGGTTTTAGCTTGTGGAGGAGGGGAGAAAAAAAAAAAAGGAGGATAAGTGTTTTAACTTCATACATCCTGTTTGGTCCAGGAAATAGACTCCCCCGCCACCCAAAGAGATCACAGCTAGAGAACAACACAGGAAAACTGGTTTACATTTCAATATTTTACAGTTGAGATGAAGAGAGGGGGAGGGGGGGGGGTTAACCCGTCAGTTACATCATGTTTGATATCTTTATCATCATAAGATCCACTCCAGTTATATCACACACAGGCAGCGAGGCCTGCTCCTGAAGACAAACACACACCTGGCCTGATGGAAGCAGGAAATCAGTTTCCACATGATCCGACCTGCGCCAAAGACACGCCCACGTTTCTCCACCCTTCACCTCCAGCCGACAGGAAGCAGCTGGAGCGCAGGTGTGGTCCAGGTGTGAGTCTGTGTTTTGGGAGATCGCATCCGGTAGAAACGGCTCCACCAGACCAGGCCAGACACCATAAATACTGCCACCATGCGCTGCTCACACAGACAACAGAGACAGGTAGGGAGATGAGGGGTGGGGGGTTGGTGGGGGGTTAACTCAGAGAGGGGGGGGGCTCTTTAAATGTGGCTCTGCTCTACTCTGGGAGGGGGAGGGCCCAATCGTAAGGCGAAGGAGGGAGTGAGTGACAGGTCGAGCAGCGAACCAGATCGGAGCAGAAAAAGTGCACGGCCCCACGGTAACTATGGCAACAGATAAAGGTCGGCGCTGCAGAGCAGAGCTGGGAAAGGGAGGACGGAAGGATAAAAGGAAGGGAGGCAGGAGATAAAGAGAGAGAAGCGTCTCCCTCCTTCTTCTATCCTTCCTGTTCTCTCTGTGCAGTTTATCAACAAATAAAGTCAGAAATAATATAAGGGGAAGGGGGGGGAGGGGGAGGGGGGGTGGATAGGTAGATGTATGGACGGGTAGTGCCGCCATGCTGCGTCGCCACACTCCATTCACTCATTCATTCATTAGCATCGCAGCATCCCCCCGTTGCCGAGGTTTCCCCTCAGTACTCCCAGAGTGTGGCGGTCTCCAGGTCGTCAGCGTTGGCCTTCAGCACGCCGGCGTGGTCGCCGCGCAGGTACTTGCCGTCAGCGCCGTGGCGGACCGCCAGCTTGTTGTAGTCGCAGAACTCGAAGAGGAAGTCGACGGGCGTGTCACTGCTGCTCACCACCGACTGCTCGTTCCCAACCATCCAGTATTTACCCGTGGAGTCTGCAGGAGGAGGAGGAGGAGGAGGTGGAGAGGAAACAAGAGGAGGAAAGGATGGATTAGAGAGGGAGAGAAATGAGTGTGATGGAGGTATCGTGTGTCGGTGGGGGAGGGGTGAGAAAATGAAGGAGGGAACAAAAGGTTTGGTTTCAATTTGCTTCATTTGAATTACATAATGCAAAAAGCAGTGAAATCATCCGTATGAAAATCCCTCTTTTTGGCACCAACGCATGATTAATGAGTAAATCCATAATGAGAATCCCTTAAAAAGAATAAATGATTTAATCCCTTATAAGCCTGCAGCAGCAGCTGCAACCTCCCTCCACGAGCTTTGACAGGCAGGAGCCATTTTCTAGCTGCTGCTGCAGGTTCACATCAGACTACAGCCGGCGTGTCCTGCGGCTCAATGAGTCCGGATGAAAACCGACCTTGCAGGCTGTAGGCTCCGTCTCTGAACTCCAGGGTGAAGTAGTCGTAGGAGGAGCGGTTGGAGTCCAGCGTCCCCGTCACCTTCCTGCAGCCGATGAAGCCGTGCTCCCCGCGCAGCACGATGATCGGGCGGTTAATCAGCTTCATGATGAACTCCTCGGTCTCACCTGGAGGCAGACAAACCATGCAACATGTTCACTGGAGCTTTGGTCAGTAAGTTTCACTGTATGCTGAAATAATTGCAAGAGCGATGTGTTCGAGTGCTGACTTCTAATGTGTCTCAGTAAGAAAAAATCTGCACACAGCAGCTTGTGTCAGAAACTGCAGCACAAAGTGAAAGTTTCAGCTTCGATCCTGCACCCACTGATCTTCTTGCTGACTCCGTGACTCGCAGAAACAAATGCAGTTTCTGTAACGATCAAATTCTCTGCAGAGCCTTCGCTTCGCCTTTCTTACAACATCTGTGCAAGACTCCGAGTGACACGGCGTTGGTGGGAACGGTCCACATTTGGAAGTGTTGTCCTTGGGCAAGATGCCGAACCTAAAATGCCCTCGCTGCATCATCGGTGCAGGAAAAGGTGCCGTACATGAGCCATTTACTGTCTTTGATACCAGTCACATGTATATACAGTACATGTAAGGCTACAGCTAGCAGCTGGTTAGCTTAGCTTAGCTTAAGGCTTTAAACAGATGGAAACAGCTGGCCTGGCTCTACCCAACATACAAGCACCTCTGTAGCTCACTCTTTACGTCATTATATCTTGATGGTTTGTTTTTTCTTTGTTTTCAGAGTGTAAACATGACAATTTGCCGTATTACAGAGGTTATGTGGCGGACTTTTTCTTGGTCAGCTGGTTGCCTGGCAACTGCTTCTATAAATAAATAAAAAAGGTCCAAGAAATAAGCTTCCAACTGTTGTTTTAACTGTGATGTTATTGGGCTAAACACATGTCCATGACCGTCGCAGTGTGATTTTGTTTAGCATCGTCAGGAAACTTTTATCTGTTGCAGACAATTAGTAAAAACCCTTTTCCTGTGGTTTGATACTTGGGTGCGAGCTCCTCGGTGACTCTGCACACTCACAGGTTTCCAGTCACCATGACGAGCTTAAAAATAAACACAGTAAGGGAACAAACAAAAAGCAACAAAGCTAAATCCCAAAAGGACGGAGTAAACAGTTACATTCTCGCTGAAGCCTTTGAAGCCCACAAACAACTGGAACAGCTGTGATTTAATTCCCTCTCGCTCTGCTGAAGTTCCCACCCGTCACTGCTGCAAAGTAAAATCACTTAGCAACGTGTCACCGCCTGAACGGCTGGATCGACGAAATGACACCGACCTGCGGAGTCCATGGTGGCTGCTAGCTGGCCGTTCTTCTTGGCGGCAACATATTTCCCGTTGGCGGCCCGGAGGGTCAGCCTCTTCCCACGCCACTCGATGTCAAAGTAGCAATTAGCTGACCTACAGAGAGAGAAAGAGAAGACGGATAATTACATTTACATGGCAGGTAAACACATATTCACACTTAGTTCTCCTGTTGCTCACAAACCTGCACCCAGATGTTTTATCAAGAGCTTAAGTAATTGTCGGGTAAGTGGATACGCAGGCTCAGGGTGGAGGGATAAGCTTGTCGTCTTTGATTCATTTGAATCAAGTCGCTTGTTTAATCCTTTCCCTTGGCCCAGAGTCAGGTTTTATTTTCTAGCGTTGCTTTAACATCCCTGGATCTAAAACTCCTTTTTTTTTTCCCCCTCTATTAGAGAAGCTCTGAATCATTCTCCAAAACGTTTTCCTCGGTGAGAGAAAACATTTCTGTGGTCTAATCTGTGCGGAGGGAACAGAGTCAAAGCTCAAGAATGTGAAGGAGGAATGTGGTGAACGTCCTGCAGAGCGCTCTGCGGTGTGACCCCTCAGCGTCCACGACCGCCTGAGCTCCGTCTTATCTAAAAAAATGGAGTGGCGTCAGCGTCAGAGTTAACTCAGGACACATGCATGGCTTCATACAATTAATGAAAAGCTTTAAAAAGCAGCATGAGGCTCCTCGACCCACATCCACGCTTTATATTTATGGTGTTGACATCATGAGCAAAGAATGCACCAACAAAGGTGAGAAAAAAAGTCTCTACAACACGAGGAAAATAACTCGACATCATTTTACAGATATTTATTGGCACAAAGCGGCTTGTTCCTTTTAGATTCTGCATCACAAGCAAAGTTGGAGAAACACATCTGAAAATATTTTATAAAATAAAAGTATCCAACAAACATTTCGAGTAAGACTGAACAAGGAGGCACAGTTCATTTGTTCTGCAGTTGCTCAGCTGTGTTACATTCTGCAAAGACCTTTAAAGTTTTTGTATTTTCACTTGTTTTGAATGTAAGGAAAACAATTCCTGCAATATTATTAACCTCCTGATTTTACAGGGGACATTTCATATCCATAAGATGAAATTTCTTAAATCAATTCCCTCTTTTAAGTTGTTTCTAATTGATCTTGAACGTTACTTTGAGTCTCTCAAATTGGTAACAAACAGGAAGTCCATGTCAGCAGTTAATGTATATTCTGAAATATCTGTCTGAAGAAGTTTATTCTTGAAATTTCATCCATTTCTTTTATCTATTTAAAAACTGATATAAAACTTTCCACTTTAAAAAGGGGTCAGATTATTGTTATCACTCCTGTTTATTTAAATCTACATCTTATTTTCAACCATACTCATCTTTGCAATAAAAAACACTGAGATTTTCAAAATAAAAGTAATTTTTGACACAAATACAGGAACTCTCTCTCATAGAGTCGCCTCTATGAAAAGCTGCTTCAGATTCTACTCCTGAAACTGTCTGGGGATGCTCATGGGGAAATCAACCAGGAGCACAGGGTCAAAGGTCAAAAGGTCGGGGGTTAACAGGCAGCACTCAGGCTGGACAGAACTCCTGCACATTAAAGAGAATTACTCCCGACAGGTCGAGGTTTCACACAAACGCACTTAATCTCCTGCAACATGCCACTGCCATGACATGAGATCACTCTCGCTTCACCTCACACCTCCCACACCCACACACACACACACACACACACACACACCTCCCACACACACACACACACACAAAACTCCTAAACCATGTCACATCTCAAATTACAGAACAGGACTACAGATTAAGAACTGTGACAGACCAGTATCAGGTTGTCTGTGATTAATGCGCACACACACACACACACACACACAGACTGCTGCAGGTGTGTGTGTGTGTGATTCTTACTTGGTGGATGCGGTGCACTGCAGGCCACCGTTAGCAGTGAGGGTCCAGTATTTCCCAGCAGCGGTCCGAAACGCACACTTCCTGTTTTCGCGGCAAATCTCCACCTGGAACACTTCCTGGTCGCCTTCCTCGTCCTGATTGGCTGACAGGTCCATACCTGGTGGGTCCAACACAGAAGGTGACCATTAAACACCAACAGTCCAGATGCAGACACACACACACACACACACACACACACACACCTCCTGGTCAGGATCAGACGCATTAAATGAGCAAATTCGGACAGCTTGGATTAGTGAAGGATTTCACACAGCTGCACACACACACACACACACACACATCTGTCCAGAAAGACCCGGCTATAGTTCAAAGGATTAGTCGTCATGGTGGATGGTCAAAAAACCCTGAACTCATAACCACAGGAATCACTGGCGTCGACGATGAGCGATAGATAGACCTGAGAACCTGAAGAAAAACTATGACTCTCAAACCAGAAATACTGTATGACGCTGCAGCCGCAGGTCAGCTGAGTGAATCAGAAAGCGGCGTAATGCAGCGCGCTCTGTAGGTGCGCTTGTGCGTAGGAATACGGTAGTTCAGTGGTTGAAAAAAGTAGTGCCAAAGGAAAGTGCTGAAGATAAACCTCTGAAATTATTCTGCAGGAAGCTTCATTTAAACAGATGTTGGATGTGTTTCTATACAGTCATGTGTAGAACACCAGGCCTCATTAAAAACACATCAACCCCACTCAGGCAACAAAGAGGTAAACAAACATGAGTCAACTATAGGATAAGACACATAAACCCCCCCCCCCACACACACACACACACACACAGTTCATGGAGCACAATGTGAGCTATTGTATATGATGAAGTCATGGCGTGGATGGACCTATAGCCAGAGGGCTGGACAGAGAGAGAGAGAGAGAGATGGACTGTCTGTCGGAGAGCTGTGTAAATGTGTGCAGAGCGACGGAGAAAGAAAGAAGTGTTTGAGAAAACAAACCAACACACTCATGCGCTCCCTCCCTTTTCGTGTGTGACACAGTTTTGTTTTTAAACTGATGCAGAATCAGAGATAATGTTTGTTTTGTTTTCATTACACATTATATTTGACATGTGGTGCGCAGCGGTTTCTTTCTAAGTCAAGAGAAGGGTCTAAAGGGAATATTAATCAATTCAATTCTTATGTTTAAAGATGTCGTCCCCACGATCTAATAATTTCCATACAGTCCCTAACAGTACTTTCACACACGGCGTCCCATTACAACAAACGCAGAAAATATTTCATACGGTTTTAGAACCTCGAGAATTTACTGCTCACATTTTGTGTCTGGAGAAGAAAGTAAGAAAAGAAAGAAAAAGAAAGAAAGAAAGAAAGAAATGCATTACTCCTTTCCTGTCGAGTGGCCGCTAAAGTCGACGTAGGAACTCCGGCCTCTGCGGACAGATTGAGTTTCTGCAGAAATATGTGGGGACACACATGAGAGAGCGCACACACACAGATGATGGAGGAGGAAAATATAACTGAGCATAATGGGAACCACATGGCGGAGAAAGGGTGGGGTGGGGTGGGGGTGGGAGGGAAGATGAAATGTAAGTTTAGCTGCGACAGACAACGAGGGTTTTAAAAAGGAAAAAAGATGAGGCGAAAAGAGGGTCAGACTCTGCTCGCCTGCACGATCATCAGTCACATCACTGAACTGCCGTCTAATCCCCACCGCCTCCTGCTCAGCCAACACACACACACACACACACACACACACACACACACACACACACACACACTCTCAGTACAGTAGCACAGGAAAGCCCATTTATTTCTGTGGCGTTGTGGCGGGAGAACAACCATCTGCACGACGCCTCGACCCACGAGGAATTACTGACTCACCTTCGACACGAATGAGCTCATTCCAAAACGCTACACGCAAAGTCAGAGGGAAAATAATCTGTGATTAGAAAGACCTGAAGGGCCCAGTGTTACCAGTCTGTTAATGAAGGACTGGGACTTATAAATGACAAAAATCAACAGCATGAACTTGGTTTTAAGAAGTTATCAGCTCATTTTGAACATTTATTTCTGATTTACCTTCATCGATGCTGCACAAAAAAAGATTTTTGTTTTAATAATTCAAAAATCAAGTGCAGGAAAAATGGAAAATGGCCTGATTCACATTCTTGCCGAGAGTTAAATGAGAAGATTGACACTACTCTCACATCTGTACGGTAAATATCAAGCTACAGCTAGGTGCCAGTTAGCTTAGCTTAGCACAAAGACTGGAAACAGGGGGAAACACCTAGCCTGGCTCTGTCCAAAAGGTAACAAAATCTGCCTAGCAACACCTCGAAAAGCTTATTAAATCTAAACATTATATCTTGTTTGTTTGATTCAAACAGAAACCAAGTGTAAAAACATCAAGTACCTGTTACATTATCTGTAACTTTTACATTATCTGTGCTTATATGAATCGAAATAAAATGAAAAGGTACGAATAATTAAACTCCAAAACCTGCAGTGGTGAAACTCCATCGTCACCCTGACGAGGAGTAAAACCAGCATGAATTTCACTATATGAAAAACACCAGGAAACTAACAAAACGCACAGTTTACATGATTTACTGGGAGCTGTGTAACACTAGTCTCTCCAGCTCCGACATGGTTTGAATAAATTATTCCCCAGAAATTTGAATTTATGCGGGCGAGACATTCAGGTGCTGTCAAAGGAGTTATTGATTCTTGTGAATAACATGTTTTGGAGGAAACAGGACGATGTTTGGTTCATCTGTCTGCTGCATCAGGAGGAAGTGTTCTGCTCGTTTCACACACACACACACACACACACCTTGAAACTGGTCACAAGTTATCACAAGGAAAGAACAACACTGGTGGGTGCACACACAAGGTAAAAATACAAAAAGTGACAGAGACAAAACACCGGCCCTGTGGAGCTCAGAGAGAGGGTGAGTTTATATTTACACCCAGATACGTCTATATTCTGATGTGTCTGAAGATCACAGGGCCAGAGGAGGAGGAGGAGGAGGAAGAGGAAGAGGAGGAGGAGGAAGAGGAGGGTCGGTACACTCAGCCATGACCACACCAAGAGGAGTGACCACACATGTTGAATCCACACCAAAACCACACCAGAGCCCGACAGACACACACTCGTGCTCCTGAAAAACAACCCGTCCATCTTTCTGCCCGTCCCCGCCCACCACATTCAGCCTGATGGCGGCAGGCACAGATTGTTGGCCTCGGTTACTGTGAGCCAGCACCAGAGGTCGGCTGTGAACGCACGCGATTGTATCAAGCGCAATTGTGTGTCTGTGTTTGTGTGTGTGTGCGTGCTATTGTTCAGCAGGCCTGACTGAGGAGGCGACCAGCTGGGGCACAAACAGAGAGCCAGATCATCGACCTTTGTTCTGGTCCAAACACACACACACACTGACACACACACACACACACAATGACAAACACACACAGAGCCAGCCAGCCTACACACTGAGCACTGTGCTGACTGCTCATACAGTATAAACACACACCACATCAATACTCCCACTTCCTCTACGCTCAAAAAAATTACTCTTTGGATGAATTTAGGAAAAACATGAAAAGTATTTCCCCATAATTAAATGTCTTAGTTTAAACATTAAGCAATTCTGTTGGTTAAACTTAATTAATTAGGGCCAATTCCACTTATTTACAAGGGTTGGATCCAACTAAATTTACTTAAGTTGGTTTAATACAATTTGCTTGAGTTGATTCAACTTATTCACTAATGTTAAGTTTCACTTAATTTAATAGGATTGGTCCAACTACTTTGAATTAAGTTGCTCAAACCCCAGTTAATTAAGTTAACCCGACGACATTGCTTAATGCTGAAAGAAAGCCATTTAAAAACAGATGGAAATACTTTCCGTGATTTAATTAAGGCGATTCTAAGTATAACTTTTGAGTGTAAATATTCATCCTTCATTCATCCTCTACAGTCGACTTGGTGTGAAGGGTTGAAGAGTTGATGCACATGGGGGAAAAAAATAAATGATTTAAATGAGGTCAGAGGCAGCATTGTTCCCGGGGATGACACAGATCTTTTAGTAAATTGATTCTGTTTTTCATTGTGTTGCAAAAAAAATAAAAAATAAAAAATCAAGTGAAGTACAGTCGGACTGTGAGTTCGAGGGCACTAACGTGGAGACACACCCAGAGCAGAATGACACACTGGAGACCGGCTGAAGCTTAACCTGTAATAAAGCAGATGACATTAAAAAGGAGGAGCGGCGACGTGAGGCAGAATCTCCTGGCACAAAACCAACACACACAAACATTAAAAGCATCAGCACACGCACACACTCTGTCACAACCATGGACCACGACCAAGGACGAGTGGGTTGTGCTGGGAACAAACCATCACCCTTCACCCTGCAGGGATCCACACACACACACACACACACACACACACACACACACACACACACACACACACAGTCGAGGTCTGAGCTGTGTGGCTCATGTCTCATTTCCTGCCAGTGGGGGGGTGAAGGATACAGAAAAGGGTGTCAGGGCTGAATCGTAGCCAGACACAACATGGAGCAACATTATTTTTTTTGTCTCCTCTGCCTGATGTAGAGACAGATTTTAACCCTGATTTCACAGGATGAATGATTTTCAACACTTTTGAACTGGAGTCAGCAAAAAACAAAAATCAGTTTGAGTTGGTCACCCATTGGAATCTGAACACAGAGCGGCAGCTGCTTTCACATCTGTATCCCACACAAGAGCAGCTGTTAAATGGTTTAGTTTAACTTTTTATTTTTGGAAATATTTATTTTTCATATCTGTATGCCAAATGTGGCGGGTTAGCTTAGCTTAGCATAAAGGCTGAAAACAGGGGGAAATGGCTAAAGGTAACAAATACAAGCAGCTTTAAAAGGTCAGTAATTAACACAGAAACCAAACAGTGTAAAAACAATGATTCATGGTTTTCACATTGACTATTTCTGGGCAATGACTTTGTGATCAACATAAACTCAGGAAGTCACATAACCCCCACGAAAAACCAGCCATTGTTGTTACACTTTGGCTTCTGTACAGAGGCACAGCAAGGCTAGCTGTTCCCCTCCGTTTCTAGTCTTTATGCTAAGCTAAGCTAACCATTTAGCAGCTGTAGTTTTATATCAAACAGACATTTAACTCTCAGCAACAAAACAAATAAGCATATTTCCCACAATCTCAAACTGCTGCTTCCAGAGTCGCTTGGCATTTTAAACCTTTTCACGAGGCTTTGCTGGTGGTTTTACAGGCCGTGCAGGAGCTTCATACATTCATACCAAGTCTTGTAAACAACAGGAGCTTAGTCACAGGAAGCAGCCAGAAAACATTCAAGGGTTTACTGCCGTAGCGTCAGATGCTGATCAGGAACTCATTGGAATCAGTTGAGTGACTATCCGACATAAAAACAGCCTGGTCCCAACAGGAATCACACTCCAAATACCTTGCCACAATTAGGAAACTGAAAAGAACAATGACACCCTGCAGGATTCCCGCCTCCACCTCGGGTCCCTACAGCCAGCGGCCCGGAGGACGGTCAGCTACAGAGAGCAGTCGGCGCTCGGTGGTCACGCCGGGAGCCAACAGGATGTGATGGGCCCTCATCCATTTAGCTAAAGACAAACCGGCGTTCGGTCTTCACCCACAGTTCAGGGGCAGCACAGCCACTTAATGGACCATTGAGCTCCAGGCTAACTGACTGATAATCGTGTCTCAGTTCATACGAGGGGTCGTTAAACAGCCTCTCAGGGAATTTATGGATCTTTAAGAGCAGGAAACAGAAACACGGATGTGATTATTCATCTAATATTTGTCAGGTGGAAAATTAACATGACAAAACTAAATACTTCAGGGAACTGGTGCAATGAAGAAATGTAAACTTACTGGCCTCCTTTTCAGATAATGGTGAACCAAGAAGTTTAAATGAATAAATAAAGAAGATGGGAGTTGGAGTAACGAAGAAATAAATGGCTGTGAGGAGTTAAAAGTTTCTGGCAGCATTGCAGTGACTGTTCAAAATGAATTCCTTGTGATTTCTTCGCAACAACAAAAACAAACACATAATTCATCATAAACTGCAACGAGCCTCGAACATCAGAGCCACTATTGTTTGAATCATTTCAATACTTCATATTTACTCTGATGTAGGTCAGATGAAGCTACAGGAGGGGGGGGGGGGGCCATGTAGTCAATCAGGGTGACTTTAAGTTAAAGTTTTTTTGCACAACACGGCTCTTGTTTTTTTGGCGGTTGTGGCATCAGTCCCATCTCTCAGGGTGATATCTGTATTAACCGGCTCCATTGTTGAGGTGTGGGGGAGGCAGAAATCCAAAACAGAAACCACCACATGTGATCAGATCAGAGACGTTTTAAACCTCAAAAAAAGAGGAAGTAGAGTCAAACAGACCTGAAAATCTTAACTGGAGAGAACTGGAGGGAAAACGAGAGTTGTATGTGAACACAAGCGGGAATAAGAATCTCAGCATTCCCAACAAACTCGACAGATCACGGCTCCATTTAACGAAGGACGTCTGAACTGGATTCACTGAGTCCAAGAACACAAACTTCATCAGCCACAATTAAATGCGAGTCACAAAATCAGCAGCTTTTGTGACTGACCCACTTGAGCTTTGCACACGTCACGAACCTGCAGGCCGCTAATGGAAGCCAGCCGACTCCGACCACCATCTTGGCTCGCGGCCCGCCGGGGCGAACAGCCCCTGCGGAGAGCGGCTACCAGCATCTGTCGGTTCGAAAAACATCTGGAGCCGGTTTAATTCCACTCAACTTTTAATCCACATCACAATGATCCGGTTGTCGGCGGGTTGAACACGGTCTTCCTCTGCAGATCCAGACCTCCTGCTCATTATGGAGGACGGCAGAGGGCAGCGAGGACACGGGGTCAACCGCCCAATGAGAGCATCCGACCTGCACACGTGTCCCTGAGCAAGGCATTAGACTAGTACCCAACTCCTGGGGCACTGATACAACTTTCTCATCCATAACCAATCCAATATCACTATCCAGTACCAGTCTGACACTAGTGTTAACTCTAACTTAACATCTACAGTATATAACGCACTGCAAGCGTCGGCGGACATGTCGGCTGTTACTTGGTAAAACGTGGAGCCAGTTTTAAATTTAAGATGCTTAAACATATTCTAATGGGGCTTTTTAACTTGTGTATTCAGAGGTAAACCCTAAATAACAACAGTAATGTACTCTGTAGTTCTGCACCGAGCTCGTGTGAGCAGGATGTCGCCTTCACTGAACTGCACCCTCTGTTATAAAAAAGGACATAATCTGATTTAGGAAAATGTTGGAACAGGCAGCAATCCATTTATGTTACTTGGGGATTAATGAATTCTACCTCATGCTCTCATTACAGAGGATGTCATCATCTAATTCCAATGCATTTAGCATTAACAGCATTTAACATTGCCGGGTTTTTAAAACACAGATTTTTATCCGACATCAGGACTGGCCCCTCCATTTTGAGTCTGAGGTGTTTTCCAGCACTGAAAACTCTGGCGCTGTGTTGTCGTCTGGACGGGCGAAAACCGAAACCTTTGGAAACGATGACGTAGACACACACGGCCGCTCCTGATTGGCTCTCATCAGCATGGACCACCGGTGGTGAAAGCAACATGGATAATGAATTACGAGTGTTACTGACCTTGTTGTCTTTGCTAACAGCTGTTATATTTTTACTCATTTGTAGTATTTTTTTTACAGCTAATCAACTGCAGAGAAGACAACCTGCTTCCTGTTTACCTAATGATTGCTCAGGTATGTGCGTCAGAGCTCATTTTTGTTTGAAAATGCCGTTTTAACCCTCTGAGGTCGACAGATGTTTCTATTAATATCGATATCGCGATAAGAGCGTAAAAACATGGTTTGAATGGTGTTAAAATCTGTAGAATCTCCACTTTCCTTTTCTTATTCTTGCAAGATTGTACGATTGTACTCTGAAATCTGGTTAAAGCAGAGTGACAGACAACACTTCAGGCTTTTATTTAACATTTATCTTCTATTTCACTCATGTATTGCTCTATGTTTTTAATGAACCGAAGACTTTGCTGAACCTGTTTCAGTTCATCCACGTCAGTAATTTGGAGAATTTCAAAAACCAGGCTTCAGTTTTTCAGCATTTGGGCCAAATGCAAATTTGCACAGAGTCAACAAGGGGCCTCGTTACAGAAAGAGCCGAGATCGTTCTGAACATTGTGATACAAAACACTTGGGCATTATGGGATATGCAACCTTTTAAAAAGGCGACTTTAGATGACTCAGAGGGTTAAAATGAAAACGCAGTAGTGAGACACCGAACATCCCTGTGGGAGGAGGAGGAGAGAGAAGTGGATAAATCTCTGTCTGACAGGTAAACAGGCTGAGGGTGTGACAGAGAGACAGGAGAGGAAAAGAAAAGGATAGATCACAGATCAGACCTTCTGAAAAGAGGAAGCAGAACCACTCGACCGCACGGTATCCTCACCAGCGTGATCCTCCTGACCACAGACTGAACACAGGCTTACAGAGCATCAATTATTTCTCTCCTATCATTCATTACAGACACAGCGTCTCCTCGGCTCTAAATCACATTCATGATTTGTCGAAGGTGTTTTCAGATCAGATTTCAACTCAGCATCTTTCAAGGCAGCAAATTCAAGCACGTGTTCACACTTAGAGACAAAAGCTGGTCCTTCATTTAGACACCAATCAACTGAGGGACGCCACTGATAACGACCTCCGACACACAGCAGCTAGGCCCGAAGGCTGGAGTCGCAGGGAGGAGTGGGGGAGGGGGGGGGGGGGTGAGGAGGAGGCTGCAAGCGATGACGGGAGGATGGGAGAGAGAGGAGCGCCTGAGGAAATGGTGACAGAGATGTTGAAGTGAAGAAGGGATGAACAATGAGGGAGGAGGTGAAAGGAGGAGACAGTCAGGGAGAAGTGGAAAAAATGAAGCGGGTGTGAAGGAGGAAGGAAGGAAGGAAGGAAGAAGGTGGGAGGGGGGGGACAAGCTTGTATCTCTGCCCACATGAACAGCTGAAAACCAGACACACATGGACATATTTAACACACACACACACTCTCAAATCTAATCTGACTAAAAGAATAAGAATAAAAAAGCTCAAATTTCAGCTTCAGTCTGCAGGTCGATCTCACAGCTGCAGGAGGAAAACACTCAGAGTTCTAGTTTTGGGTTGTGATGGCGTCAGAGCTGCGTGACGACACTAAAGAGAAGATTCAGGTCCGGTTAAATATTTCATCAGTGTCGATGGTGATGGAACTCCAGGTGTCAGATATTAAACTCACCTGATGTTAAAGGTGCAAAGTATCTGATGGATTCAAGGAGTTTAGTCATTTTAGGGAGGATTTTACTGTGTGTGTGTGTGTGTGTGTGTGTGTGTGTGTGTGTGGTGTATCCTTCCTCTGCTTTAACTGTGGGGTTGTTCTGCTTTGTGCCAGGTCTGCCTCTCGCCAGTTTAAGGCTGTTTTACATTTGAATGCTGGCACACGTGCACATGGAGCTGTGTGTGTGTGTGTGTGTGTGTGTGTGTGTGTGTGTGTGTCTCTCTCTCTCTCAACAGGGCCGAGCACCGGTTCACTTCTTTGTTACACGCCAACGTGGACAACACTCAGTTATCAGCTCTACTGTTCTGTTTACATGCGTGTGTCCAGAGCGGGAAACCAGATCTATACCATACATATGACATCACAGGCCTTCAGTGCTGATGCACTCTGGGAAAAGATGCCAGTGTTTAGCATGTACAAATACACTCAGGCCTGTGTTGTGTGTGAATATATAGGCCATCACTGTCTGTGTGTGTGTGTGTGTGTGTGTGTGTGTGTGCGGTGTGTCAGGGGAGATGCAATCTGACATTCCATCACTTTAACCCTTCCTCTACCAAGGGATGAGATCCCCCCCCCCCCCCCCCCCCCCCCCACACACACACACACACACACACACACACAGGACCAACGCACCCACCTTGCCGGGTGGAGACGTTCCTCTCGTTGGCCGCGGTGAGCACGACCTGCGGGTGGCTCTGCTCCAGCACGAACAGCTCATCCTTGCCCACGCGCGCGCTCTTGCCGGACTTCATGGTACCGGAGGGCCCGGAGGGCGCGAGGTACTTGCCGCTACAGTCCCTGAAGGCCACCTTACCGGAGCGGAACTCCAGCGTGTAGCCCGTGCTCTTGTCCGTGGTGGCGACCAGCGCGCCGTCGTTCCTCAGGAAGCGGTTGTCGGAGGTCTGCAGGTGGTAGCGCTGCTCGCGGAACACCAGCGTGATCATGGAGTCCACCCCCCACGGGACGTCCCGGTCGATGGCAATCTCGTCCACCTTGCTGCTCAGGTGCGCGTACCGCTTGCGCGTCAGGCTGAAGATGTTCACCTGCGGGTGCATGGCGATGTGCACGCTCCATTTCTCCGCCACGGAGGCGGTTTGGGCGAAGCAGATGATCCGGTCCTCGGTTCCGCCCAGGTAGCGCCCGTGCGGTTCGGACTGCAGGGACCAGCGGCCGTCGTCATGGGCGGTGATGATGAACCGGCACTCCGGGCCCGGGGTCTCACTGTCTCCGGTAACGTTCCCGTCCTTGTCGGCGGCGATGTACCGGCCCAGATGTGACTTGAGGTGGAACACGTTCCCGCTGGAGTCGTCGCCGCTCTGCTCCAGAGTCCAGATCTGCTTCTTCTTCATGCTCGTGGCGGACGCGTTGATCTTGAAGCCGAAGGTCTCCGCCGTCAAGTATTTGTTCCCGCAGTTGATCAGACCGAACTGGATCTGCAGCATGTCGCTGGTTCCGTTAGACGCGCCGTTAGTTGTCATTGTCGGTTCTGTGCGCTCGAGCCTCGGACCGGACCGGTTCTGTGTGAGAGGGATTTTTTTTTTTAGGGGAGGGGGGGCGGTTCTGCAAGTGACTGAGCTCGCGGCTGAAAGGGTGGGATGCTGTGCTGCCTCGCGTGCTTCTCTTTGTTTGGGGAGTGTGTGTGTATATGTGTGTGTATGTGTGTGTGTGTGTGTGTGTGTGTATGGCTGAGTGGGAGTCTATGAGCGCGCGCCGCCGCCGGTCCTCAGTGCTCTGCCTTGTCTCAGCAGCGCGAGCCCGCCGCTACACAGCTGCAGCCTATATAACCATCAGTGACGTTGCGCTGCAGGCCACGCCCCCCCAGAAGAAGAGTCTGTGGTGAGTTTTGGTAAAGTGAGATGATTTAGACTGAAAGAGCATGAGGAGAGGAGGGGGGCACAAACAGGAACTCAGAGGAAGTGCGTTAAAAAGAAAATAAGTAAGGAGACAGTTGAGTAGGCTCCTTTAACCTCCATAGCCCCTGTACTCACTTTGATATATGGGGAATATATTTCAGAAGTCCCTGTTTCCCTGGGAATGTCCCTGTTTTTGATTGTGAATTAAAAACAGACGTCTAGCGTTGCGCTTGTTTTGGCTAACATTTGCTGCTAGCTTCAGAAATTAAGCTAAAACCATCAAAATAGAGTTATCCAATCTGTTTTTTCCTTCTTTTTTTCTGTCATCGAAGGGATTAGCTGGGTCACTCATTGGTTAGGAGTTCATAACCAGGAAGTAAACTAATGAAAACAAACATACCCAAAGCCTCCCAGCTGAAATTTGCAAAAATGTTTATGTTGGAAGAAGTGAAGAAGAAGAAGTTGCCCGACAGTCTGTAATGGACTTCACATGACAATATTCACAAGAATACTTTTATGAAAAATGCTTTTGATGTTTTTAATTGGTGGATACAGACTTAAGGAATTAAAATAATGTTGGTATGGATGTACAATCTGACTTCACGACTGTTTCAAAGGAAGGGAGTTGTCCCTCACCATAGTTTATCACAGTGCAACAGTTACCATGGTCAAAATACATGAAACCAGGACTGTCCCCCTTTTTTATTTAATAGATAAAATCACATTCATTTCAGAAATCTGGTCGCCTAGGTAAACAACAACATCATATCACTCTCATCTCTCTGTCTCCGACTCACTGATCATCAGATGGACTCAGCATTCAAATCATGAGGACGGGTTGTGAGTGTCCACTCACAAAGAACTATTCATGGCCTGAACACGCACATGAGAGGGCAGGAAAGGCTCCACAAACAAAGAGGCCAAACAGATCATGCTGGCATCTTCTCAGTCACCAAACACACACACACACACACACACGTGTGCATATACAAGTGCACGAAGGTCAAAGCAGAAGTCGCTCACATCTCATTTCCCTCCCAGTGAAATTACATGAGTGTTGTTACTCACTCCAGCGTGGACGCTGCTCAGCGTTCCCTGTGTCTTTAGGCAAAGTGAGCAACGGGACTGAGAGCGGTTCATCCCTGCGCCTCGTCTACAGGCCACACATCAGCTATGCAAAGGAAGATTAGAGCTCAGGTTGCACATGTTGTACCCACGCACCAAACTTCTCTGACCTTTGACCTCTGTGGATATACAGTACAAGTGAAAGAACATGGATTTCATTGTTATTCAGTGAGGGTTTGAATGATATTTTTGTGCCTCTGCGACGGTGACACTGCATATTGTTTTTGGGTTGCCACAAACATTCAGATTTTGGGGCTCAGTGGTCAAAGGTCACAGGCGTGGTGAATACCAAACAAAATGAATACACACCAGAATATTTCAGGGTTTTGTTGAGTCATTTCAGGGAATATTAGCTCTGTTAAATCACCATAACCATTACAACACATAAGAAATTGGGATTCACTTTCCTCTTCAACCCAAATCCCACAGACATCCGTCTCCCTCCTGAATATTTTTGGCTAGAAGAAAAATACCATTTTACATTTGTTGTAAATGAAAGTGAGTCACAACAGAGATGCGATGCTTCAGTGTCTGCATGCTGGTGGGTTTGCAAACGGAGAGTAATCTGTAATTTAATCAGTGGTAATCCGCCAATCCAATCTTCAGACAGAACATCTTCAAACAAATCAAATCTCAGTGTCGTTTCAGCTCCAGAATCACAATCTAATAAAATATTTTTTTTGCCTTCTCATGTTTGTTTTTATCAGCTCGAGTTACAAAAGCTCGATTGTAAAAGGAATAAATGTAAAGATGTGGTCAAACATTCAGATTCCTTCTCTGTGACAAATATGTGTATCAGTGACCTTTAACACTGTGTGATGCTGCCTTTACATCCGATCAGGAATATCCAAACTTAGTGACGATGATTGATATTTTTATTTTTATTCTATGCAGACCTGCAGCAAATATTAGATTTTCAGACATACTGTAAATACAATTTTTTTTAAAAACAGACTCAAACAGAACTCAGTTTGTTATTATCTCCCAAATCTGTTCAACTTTCACTCTTGTTTAAGAATTCTTTGAAGCTATAATACACACCGAGCTGGACTTGAAGGTAACATACAGAGGAACCAGAAACCCTTTTTTAAAAACAGTGTGTGACTTAAAGACATCAATATTTCATTTTATCTTTTATGCTGTTTCATTTTGAAAATATGCACTGTCTCTGAAATTTTAATGTTCCTGTCGGGGGAAGTGCTGCAGCTATTTTAATACGCCACATCAAACAGGACAGAACAAACTCATGTAAAAAAATGTCTGTTAAAAATAAATGACAGTTTTAAAAAAAGTAAAAAAAAATACCTCCAACATGCAACTTTTAGTAAAATTACAAGTTATTGTTTTTACACATTATTTTTTGTTCGGATTAAACAAGCAAGATGTAATACTTGCACAGAGCCGGGCAAGTGGTATATCCACCCTCTTTATGCTAAGCTAAGCTAAACCAAGCTAAACTAAGCTAAGCTAAGCAGCTGCTGGCTCCACCTTCATATTNTTTGCACAGAGCTGGGTAAGTAGTATATCCACCCTCTTTATGCTAAGCTAAGCTAAGCTAAGCAGCTGCTGGCTCCACCTTCATATTGAACAGACAGGTAGGAGAGTGGTATCGATCTTCTCGTCTAAGTCTCGCCAAAAAAAGTAAATAAGCGTCTTTCCCAAAAACGTCTGGCTATTCCTTTAAAGAAAGGATTTCAGGCAAGCTCTGCAGCAGACCTCCACATGATGACCATGTACTGTTGCTAAAATGGAAACAGTCGACTCTTTGGGATTGATCGACAGCAGCATGAATAAAGCTGTGTGTGCCAGCTGCAGCACATCCAGATGAATAATTGATTCTGGTTTGTTGTTGGATCAACAGACAGTGATGAACGCTCACAGATGTTCTGCTGTGAGTCAAAGACATTTCACACTGGTCTGTAGCGTTGGCCCGGTCTTCATTTTACTCATCGGTCTGATGCAAGTCAGACTGTTTCACAACAATAAAGACCGAGCAGTAGCACCCAACAACAGAAAACAGGAAAGACATGACTCATAGTTTGTAGTTTACTGACACGAGCAATGAGAAGAGAAAGACTTTTTAGAGACGGCAGCAATTTTTTTAAAAACGTCTTTGTAATTGTTGAATTCCTCCAAAAGAAAAACGTTTTCTGCAGTCGGCCATTTTTGTCTTAATTTACCCAGAATTCATTGTACCACAGTCCATCTTAAGATACTGAAGAACTAAAGTGCTTTGTGGCACAGATGAATTTAGACTCAGTTTAACTCAAGTCTGACTGACTGTGTTTAATCTAAGATAGATAGATAGATAGATAGATAGATAGACTTCATTATATGTCAGTAAGTGAATGCATCACCACACATGCGTCATTCATGTGGCAGAGATGAAAAAGTTCCCATGCTAACGACGTGTGAGCATTTACATCATCATGGACTAAAACAGTGTGACACCATATCCATTAAATTTGGGTGTAACTGTGTTGAGCAATGGTCGGAAGTGATGCTGTGTTCATGTCATAGCGGAGTAATCGTAATCACAGGTTTCCAGCTTGTAAAAAGCACTGATGTCGACTTCACCTTGTAATTAGAAGAGGGAAGGTCAGATTTTTAAGCTCTGTCATTTCTGACTTGGCGCCTGGAAACAAAACAAATATGGACAAATACCTGCCTCCTGTTCGACCAGAGACTCCAGCTCAATGTGATTAAACCTGCATTTAATGGATGAATGTGAAGGACAATCTGGTGTGTGTGTGTGTGTGTGTGTGTGTGTGTGTGTGTGTGTGTGTGTGTGTGTGTGTGTGTGTGTGTGTGNGTGTGTGTGTGTGTGTGTGTGTGTGTGTGTGTGTGTGTGTGTGTGTGTTGCATATCCCCTCATTCTTTGCCTATCTTTCCCTCCAGATGGGTGCCTCCATTGTTGCAAATGTAAGTTCATTTGTGTTTGAGAGGGAGACGCTCTGTCACGCCGAACACACATGTACCCACTCTCTCTCTTCTCTCTCTCTCGTTCTCTCTCTCTCTCTCTCTCTTCTCTGTCTCTCTCTCTCTCCTCTTCCTCTCTCTCATATATTCTCTCTCTGTCCTCTCTCTCTGTCTCTACTCTCTCGTCTCTGTCTCCTCTCCTCGTCCTCTCTCTCTGTCTCTCTCTTCTCTGTCTCTCTGTCTCTCTCTCTCTCTCTCTCTCTCTCTCTGTCTCTCTCTCTCTCTCTCTCTCTCTCTCTCTCTCTCTGATTATGCATCTTTTTAAAGAGGTTTTGACCCAGATATGTGATGAAATTGATGAGATTAGCAACACACACGTAGGCCTATATGAACGCGCACACACACACACACACACACACACACAGCACTGAAGAGATCTCACCCCAGGAGACTCAAAGGCCTAGTCGGGGAGGGACATAGAGGGAAGCTATCTTTGTTCTCAAGTCGAGCTTTGAGGATGGTTGCTACGGAGACCAGCTTCAAATCTGTTGGTTGATGAAGGGCAGGCGGTCTGCTGCAGCGAGCGTGCACACACACACACACACACACACACACAAGCACACGCTGACACACTGACACACTTGCTGCGCTCACGGCACTGCAGCACTGCGTCAGCAGACGCTAAGCTAACGAATCAGTGCCCTTTTCTAACACACACCTCTGAGCCAGAGCCAATCAGAACTTCTTTTTCACCCCTGCATTATAATATCCACCAATCAGGAAAC